TTAAAACAATAATGGTGGATACGTTAGCCGAGTGCTAACGTGACTAACTGATGAAACAATACAGTTTGTAAACCAAAATATGTCTACTGTAATGTTTGAAGAACGACAGACAAAAGACACGCTCTGTGTCTTAACTTTTAATCAGAACGCGGAACAGCTGTATCACAGGCGCACCAGCCTAACTAACTTAACTCGCTCGTCTCTCCCGCATTAACCCTATAACTGCCGGTGCAGCAAAATAAACAGCATTTTCACAATGATTATAAAGTCTGTGTGCTACACTACATTCTTTATTATTAAGCGAAGTAATTAGAACACCGGCAATCTACATTAATCGACACATTCTTAGGAAATAGTGGGTTCACAGCGAATTATCAGAACTACTTCAGTAATATCGTGCTTTACCTGGAAACCTAAAGCTGAACTAGGTGTGCATCATATATTAGCACAAAAACTTGATATTTTGAGCACTCAATTGAAAATGTACACATAACGTATCAATCATACTTACAGGTTGTGGTTCGGAGAGCTTGTTAGTCCAAATTAAGAAGATTAGAAGCCAACGAAGATAAAAGCCAAGATTACAGAAGCTGTCCTTGGTAAAATGACATGCACACAACAAAAGGTTCGAATTGTATTTCTGTGGTATCCTTGAACACAGCGTCTTCTCAACATGATGTAAACACACTAAATAGGCAGGTCAGACTCGCGGGCAGGTGGGGATTATGCAAATGTGTTACACAGTGACGTATACTGGTAACAGGCAAAAGATTAGAAAATATGATGACTCGTTATGGCGATTCAGAATCTTTGCAAATTGTTTTCATTTAAGGATAGCTACGTTATAAACTGCAAAAGATATATTTTTCAAAAACCCATATGACCTGCTCTTTAAATTACTGTATTGTGACAACCCTAATGAATAAAAATAATGTATATTATATTATATTATATTATATTATATTATATTATATGTTGCATATAAATAAAAAAAGTGGAATTTCATTGACATCATAAATCAACAAATCATCAACCCAATTCATTAAATCACAAATTAATTCAGCTTTTGAATGAATTTAATTTTAAAATTAAATTGATTTAAGATTAATAGATTTTTTTAGTCTTAACGAGTCTTAATGTTCACATAGTCTATCAATGCATTCTTAAGGAAACTTGATAGCCAAAACAAAAGCACATTAAAATAATTTCAATATTCATGATGGCCAGCCTTAACATGTGTTATTCAGTATTAATTGTTCATTGAATCCATACTTTTGCTTATGTATAGAATATTGCTTAAAAATTGATGTGGTTCACTTTAACAACTAGTGTTTTTTTGGTTCTTGTCATCCTTAAATAGTGTCATTTCACTCATTCGCTTGTTTTCATTCTACAGTTTGTCACCCAGAGCGCTGGCCCTCTCTGTTTTCATTCAGAGCCTGAGGAAAGGGGGCCCGCAGGGGCGTGCAAGAGAGCAGCCAATGGCGACGCTGCCCTGCCCCCTGACCTTGTGCAAGAGAGGGCCTCTCGTAGACCTCAACTTCCCCTCTCTCTCTGCGAGAAAGGAGAAACAGGAACTTGCCGCCCCTCTAATATCCCTGCTTCAGGGTGGTGTTAATGTTGTCACACAAGAACACACTTTCACCTCTTGAGCTTAGCCTTTCAGACGTGTACTAATGTGTTTACCTGGACTGTCACCTGAAGGGCCTTTTATGACACTTTTAGAGCTTGACAGTATGACATACAATACTGTGCAATAGTAGAAGTGTGTCCATTTATACCGTTGTAGATTGTGTGTGAAAGAGATGATGAAACATTGAATAATGTGGAAAAAATAGAGAGCAGGATGTGTCTTGGGAGCCATTTTTCATTGAATTTCCAGAAAAAAATAATTGTAATCATTATTTGTTGTCACCATATTCAAGATTTTAATTAAGCCGCTCATTAATTTTGATCATCAAAGATATCAGCAGGAAATTCTTCTGATCTGTCATGGAATCATTTGCAACTTCAAATTTTTAGGCTACTTCACATCAATCCTGTCTGTTTGTGGGTATGAAAACGTTTGTCGATGTGTTTGCCGGA